CTTGGTTGCTCTATTACTTCGATAATAACAGCCTGAATAAAAACTACTGCATTTTCAATATTCCTATCATTTTGCTGCAAACTTTACATTTCAAATACAAATACATTTAGCTGCATTATTAATAATAATACAAAGAATTATTGTTTTTTTTTTCACAGCTTAGGAGAATGACGAGTACTATGTCAACTGAGCCATGTTTACTCTCCACTCATACATTACTTACTTATTTTTTAATGGCTTTTGAAGAATAAAATAATAGAGATTAGTTGTATTAAAACGAAGTGATCTAGTATGCTGTGGCAATCATAAATAAATTATTGGTTTCCACATGATGGAGTTCCGTCACATTATGGTTTACGAGTAAGAAATTATCTGAATCAAAACTTCCCAGGCAGATGGATTGGAAGAGGTGGCCTTCTAGATCACCAAATCTGAATAGATTTTTTCTTTTGGAGTTATTTAAAAGAAAAGTTTTACAGCGAACCTGTTGTAAATCCATAAAATGTACGAGTAGTAACCCGTATGCACGCTGCTGTCGCGTTAATAGACCAAGAGATATTACAATATTTGCCAATATTTGTCTTGAAGTAGAAGGCAACTTATTTGAACATCTTTTGTAAAAACAATTTCTATTATTTAAGCTCATTATGTTTTTAGTTTATAAGTTTCTTTCCTCTTCATTTATAAAATTGTTTTATTATTAGAATGTTTTTCTCTATCCTTTTTAGGTTAAAATAATTCCTTACACCCAGGTACTACCGACAATTGGAAACTATACTTACCTACAATTGGTTATAAAGTCTTGGTCCCCATAGGCACAGACCTCAGTTTCCAGATAAGAATATTGGATTTTCACTTTTTTATAGTTTTTTGAATATTTTTTTTTGAATAACTCAACAAAGAAAGACAATCGGAAAATTCCAACTCTTGATTTTCGACTTGTTTTTGTCCCCTTAATCAAATCTCAGAAGGACGGGCGTCACTTTTGGGACACCCTGTATATGGCAACATATTACATTCTCATTACTGACTGAACAAAGGCCGTGAAAGTATTTTTAATGCCCTGTACATTTTAAGCTCAATATTACTCCCTGCAAATTTGCTGAATACATTACGTTATCCCCATTACAATTTCATTTAGAGGTTGATGCCTTGTGGGGGCTTGCTTTTATATAACTTTATTTTAATATCAGAGGAGAAATATTCAATTTTAAGTGACAGTGTCTAAATGAATTTCTAAAAATTATCATGAAACCAGTTTTTTACTGCACAATTTTAGCAAGGAAATAAGTTTTTACACCCACATGGGGAGAAGATTTGTTAATTATGAAAAGCTCTCCAATATACCTATAGTTCCTGTTAGTCACAAATACGACATTCTAATTAGAAACGGATAAAATTTGGTGTTCCATTTATACTATACAAAACTTAGAAGTAAGTTCCACTTAAAAGAAGAAAACCGTTTTATTCTCAATAGCAGTAGCGTGGATTTGAGGGATGATTATAATAATTGAAAGACAATATGTTAAAAGTCAACATTTCTTAAACATCCTAAGGGCTTTGCAAACTCCGCAGAATAATATAAAAAAATAGATTACTAATTGAAAATCGACATGATGTATATTTTTCGAGAAACACGAAGGTAAAGGCTATTACTCAAAAAAAGGCAGAAGTATTTAGAAATATTAACATAAAAAAGTATGTTACTATTATTTCATTATAATTTGATAATATAAATTTTACAAGATTCACTGTAATATGTTACAGAATAGTAGAATGGAAGATAGGTGCATAACCAAAAAAGAAAGAAATGATAAAATATGTATTTCAAACACTAAAAGAAGATAATAGAATAGAATATATGTATTGTTTCTGACTATAGGAACAAACAAAATTAAAATTAGATTGTCAAAACTAATTGAAAACGAAGTGTCATTCCAAGTTCTGATAACGAAAACAGATTTATGAATGTGCATGATATACAGGGTGATTTAAAACTTATCAAAAAAAATTGGGAATAGATGTCACGAAAAATATAGTCAATATCGTAAAAATAATTTGTAAAATCCTTTTAGTTTCCGAGATAAAAATTATTGAAGTTGTAGTCTCTAGCGTCATTTGCGCTCTTTCTGCACGTGGCTCCAGGCGATTTATACAGAAATCCGATTTTAGTATTAACCTTTTTGCGATAGTTAGCTTTGCAAGTGTCAAAAATGGTTTACGTGTATAGCAACTTGGAGTATGTTATGGTGAATCATTTGTGTTATGGTGAAGCAAGACAACATTTGTGTTAGTTCGTAGTGTGCAAAATCATACTTATCGTATCAACTTCGACGTCACCTGTTACATGGGTGTTGTATAATAATGAAAACGTAATATTGACAGTTGGTAGAAGGAAGCGCAAAAACAAGCGCTTATAGGTGGGGAATTCTGGAAGGAAGCCTAAACAGTTGAAGTGAGAACAGTGTGGAGATGGGTAGTAAGACGATCGGCGGGCAGTGAGACAAAATAGTGAAAAATCAAAGTGTTCAATCCGTATTAATTAGCATTAGAAATTCTTTAAGTTCGTTGTTGTTAATTGTTCTATGTAATCTCATGATTGTGATGGTTATAGATGTTTAATGATAATAATTCTTTGTGTGTTTAGCCGCCATTGCTTTACGCTCAAGGGCATAAATTGTTCTAAGGTAAAATTGTTACAATTATTATTAACGATTGCCCACTATTTATTACATGTTAAAATATGTATATATTGTCGTGACTGCCCGGATATTGCAATAACAACTCCTTTGTTTCACGTTTAACTTGTTTTGTCATGATTACGTTGTTCGAAAAACAAATAATAAAGCATTTCTTGTTGAATTTACTAACATTTTCGCCCTTAAGGACGAATCTGAAAAAGAAATAATTAAATACAAAAAAAGAATTGCTAAAACAGATCTTCCGAAATCTCAACTCATAGCTGGATTGCTTCCCGTATAGGACTCCAGTACCTTCCGGCCCTGCCGGTTAACTAACACCAAACCTCTTCAGTTTTACTTGGAAGTGTGTATGTCTAATTCGAGTGAGGTGACATTTAGTGAGACATTAAATAAGTCGGGTGTTATTTATCATTAGCAAAGGATCTTAATTTATGCCTTTTGTTAGCGGTTGTTTTGTATTTATATTTGGGTAGTTAGAGCAACGATCGTGGGTTTTTCTGCCATGCACTTTCCCCACAGGAGCTCTAGGTGAGCCTGGCACTCTCATTTTATGTTAAATGGTTGTTAATGTTTTTGTTGTTCTTTCTATTTGTCACATGTTTAATTTGAAGACTGTTGTACGTAAATAATAAAGTTAGGTGTATTTACCCTGCTCTTTAAAGTTAGTAGCCAGCGCCTTCCGGTCAATTAAAAAAAATAGATGTATACAACGTAGGTATTCCTTATGACGATCACATATTTTTGGCCACAACTACGTTTATTATTTTTTTTCGATCGAACCCGGGGTTGTTATACTACAGTAGAAACTGGGTAAATGTGTTTAGACGTCGATGGGCAAATTTTTCAATAGTTATTGTAACATCAAGTATGTCAAATTATTTTATCAATTAAAACCAGAAAGTAATTTTATTAATTAATAATAACAATAGAGGTAAAAGCAGTTGTTGATATAAAATCGGTGTTATAGAATTTTATTTATTTCTTTTCTTGGGAAAGATATTCTTTCAATTTTTTGGCAATTCATTTTTTATTATTTTGGCCGGTCGCCGACTGCATGCTTTGCCTTGCGCAAGGTCAGGTTTTACAGTGGACCAGTTTCCAGTGCCGTGCAGAAGTGTACTTTGAAATAATTTTCGAACTGCCCTTTTTGTTTTCTTTCAAAAAAATTAAAATGTTTTTTTGGATAACTTCTGAATCACCCTGTACCTGTATTTTGTATTTTTTTAGCCTGGTTTTTCTTCAGCGTGAGTTTTTTATTCAGGCAAAATTTTCATAAAAAGTAACACTTGACTGATCCTTTGGTGCAAGGATGGTAATTTTTATTTTTTTTCCACAGGTGGCAAAATGAACAAGTAAATAAAGAAAAAAAAGTTAGATCTATCCTTGTAATATTAGATTTCATAAATCTAATAAATACATGTATTTAAATCTCTCCTTAAGTACAGTTTGAACATTTTCAATCTTTCCAATTTTACGAAGTTAAATTATGTTTGATTTACAACTTGAGACGGGACGTAACACAATTTTTTATTTCTTGTAAAGTGCCGTTCACAACTCGAAGAAGAAATAATTTATCCGCGAAAGTAAATATCTTTTGGGAAGCACGAACTTCGAAATTTGGCCTGTTATTTAAGGAATACTAAGTGCGGATAAAATAAAATCAATTTCTGATGTAAACATTCACTTCTACGTACAGTGAAAGCAGAAAAGCAGTAAGGTAATCGTATATTACGCTTTTACTTGTTTGATATGGATGTAGTTTGGGTTAATACCAAATGAGAACGTAAATAGAAATGCGTCTTCTGTTCCAATGTTCTCTAGAATATGTAAAGGAGCATTTCAGTGCGATGTTTCGTATAAGTGAGGGAATTTTCCACTTGATACATCAAAGGTTTCGGTATCTTAAACAGATGTGAATAGTGCGGTGGCTGAGAATCCTTTCCATAGTTATGTTTTTTTTTTGGTCACATCTCAAAGTAGAGAATTTGGAATTTAATATGTTTCCCTTATTTTACTGGTTGTGCAAATAGTCATCCTCATTTAATTAAAAACATTAAATTCAGTTCTTCTTTTGGAAATAAATTATCCTTAAATCATTCGTCAAAATTATGCGTAGAGGGAAATCAATTTTTACAATTTTATATTGTAAATTCCAGTTATAAGATAAATAGAACCTGCCTTTCAAAATTACGGAATTGTTAATTGTTAATTGTTTTGAGTAAACGCGGGGTTATTTCTGAGAAACTTATATTGTTCTGATGTCAGATTAGTCTAGATAATGTTAGTTATATATCATACCTGTTCCACAGATCCATAATATCGTCTGGAGAAAACGCCTCTACGAGATATGAGGTCACTAGCTGTTGAGCTGAAACAATAACACTCTTATTAAACATTAATCGCAAGTAGCATATAAAAAAAGATAATTCCAAATGCCATTGTTAAGTATAGTAACTCAAGGGTATTGATGATATACCAGAAAATCTAATTATAAACGAAAATGCAGAAAGAAAATGGTATCATCTTCTTAATTATTTACCTTTGAAGACAATTCTATACTATTTGATATTCATCATATTGTAAATATAGGTTTACTATTGAAAATTGTAGTAATTATTTCTTGAATAAAATAGAAATTGTTGGAATGTGATTTAATGACAAAAAGTAATTGATAAAATAATTACTCAATGATCGATTTTTTTTATGGAGGGTAGATCTTTCAGATCCCTATCGGATATACTTTTTCGCCTTTTGAGATATTCTACAAACCTCTAATGAACATATACAGACGTCCATACTGATCTGCTGAAGGTGGATTCAAACCAACAGCTAAATACCTCAGTTCAGATCAACTCAATTCAATTGCCTTGTATACTGACATAAAATTGATATACTATTTGCTTTGTTTGATTGGGTATTTCTGCAATCCTGAAAAGAAGGGCAGATTTTATAAATTTAGTTTTGCCTAACCAGAAATATCTCACATAGAGAAAGTAGAAAATTTCCCACGACACAATAATATTACCCAATTTACGTTTCTAAAAACGTTGTTGTTCGCAAATCGACTTAAATATCAAATGTGAATTTGTGAGTGAATTGGAGAACAAGTTTTAATAACGAAATCATAGTGTTTTCCGGAATTTAAGGTCCTATGGTTATTTCGTCAGAGCATTTTTTTTAAAAACAAGTTTATTCAAATACATTTATTTATTAAATTTCGGTTTTTTAGGCTACATGCCCTGACCAAAATTGAATTATACCAGCAATATCTATTGAACAGTTCGTCAGCGGATCAACGCACCAGACATATACCGGTTTTGAACTAATTGGTTCATATCAATTTGCCATGGGTGGTTGCGAATGAAGCAACTATTTTTGGTGTTTTAACTACAAACTTGGAGCTAGTGTAAGTGACATGTAAATACTACACCTATGAACTATCAGTGCTGTCTATACCTCTAAACTTACGTATTGTTTTATACTAGCACATAATTTTGTTTGTGGCCATATAAACAGGTGATTAACCCATAACATATTTTTTTTTCGTTTTCTAAATATAAACAAGAGTGCACTCATCTAAAAATTAAAATCCGCTTACCGTTCGTGCCGTTTTTTGTTGCTTCTGGAAATGCTATTAACCTTTGTATCTGTAGCTTGACCTTATATTGGCAATGGAGCACAGATATGGTTCCTTCCTATATACTACATTACCTGCTTTTGTTTACTTTTAAGCAGTTTTCCATTCCATTAAATTACGTCCCCCCCTCAATTTATTTTCCAAGGGATCAAACCAAATCGAATATAAGTTGACGACGTATTAGGTGGAAAAATAAAAGTAACGGTGCGCGAAACAAACCAGTTAAAATTACTGAAACATTTAAATCCACCTTTAACATTTTCCTCCGATTCTGTATATATCAGAATATAGTCAAATTATTGATTCGTTACGATAACAACTTATGCAAAACCAATTTGCCAAGATTTGTTGTTCGAATAATTAGATACAATGATTTGTCGAAAATTAGCGACTACAATTTTCATGAGCAATGCGAAGTCTTAATTGTTTGAGTTCCCCTAAATTTGACCTACTTTTACCACCACATAAATCTTAATACTATTTCAATTAATTAGTGCTTTAGCTAAGCGATTTGAATGTAGATGACATCTCAGTTTAAGACCCTGTCGGGGTTGGAAGATCAATAGCTCTTTGATAGTTTATAACGGGTTTTCCATTGCGAGGATTCATTTTAAATGTATAAGAAAGTAAGTCATTTTTATTTTCAATAGTGATATTTTTATTCCAACATCAATCGTTTCTGCATCATTAGTTTACACCTTATCCTTTACATTACATCACGGAAAGAAATCCAGAGGTCTCAAATCACATGATCTAAGCGACCAATTGAAGTTTCCGTGACGCGAAATGACACGACCAGGAAATTGCTCATGCAATAAAGCTATCGTTTCCCAGCTTGAATGGCACGTAGCCCTTTCCTGCTGTAAACAAACGTCTTCCAGATTCAGTTCTCCAATCGTAGAGGCTCAAAAAGTCATCTGCATATTTTGTGGTACAGCAGTCCATTGACTGTAGCGGTAACATCAGCTGCATTTTCGGAGAAATACTGTCCCAAAACTTCGCACAATAACTCGTTGTGGATGGAGAAGTTGTTTAACAATCACTTTTGGGTTTTCGGAGCCCCAGGTGCGACAATTTTGCTGATTGACATAACCTTGAAAGTAGAAATGGGCCTTATCGCAAAAATTAATTTTCTTGAAAAAAATCAGCAATTTGCCTCAACGAACTTTGTAAGGATGAAGGCCTAGATCTTTGTCCAAAATGCGGTGCATGCTGGTTTATGACATGCCACATTACTGTGAATGTCCTGCAATAAACAGACCAGGGTTTTTCGTGACACTTGCAGAGATAACAGTAATGTTTTTGTTTGATCTGACTTCAGATTTAGTCACTAAATTGACAATTCTAGACCTAAAGGCGAAATTTGGTACAGATTTTTCGAACTGCCTCCACGAAATTTTTACTATATTTGGAGTGAACTTTTATTATTTGTAAGCGTTCTCAAAGGAATACCGATCCATCTTTATTAATCGCGTTATTTATAACTAACGACTACCAAATATAACAGCTCCATCTATTACAAAGATGCAATTTAAAATGAACCCTCTTAATGGAAGACCCTTTAGAAAGCCAACAGTGTAAGATGCAGCAGTTAGAAAATATATAAATTTGATATAGGACAGATAAACGCTAACCATTTTTTGATGTTCTTTTACGTTTTCCATTTCAAAGTAAATAACAAGGCTAAAAGGCTACTGAATCTTACAAAGTACCTCCCATTTGTCACTTTTTTATTATTTTTATGAAGTTATGTGTCTGCTTTAGCAGCGGAAAAATATCTGACACGCGAGGAGCCATTTTTCTTAAGGTGTAGGTATATAAAAGTATTACAGTATATGAATATCAATGTGACGTCGAATTTGAAATGTATAAAACTCCCATATTTTCGCTTTCTCATTCCTTGCCTTAACTGGTGCTGCTATTCTATCAAAATTCAAATTTTTTACGTTTATGTAGACGTATATTACAGCAAAATGGATTTAAGAAAACGAACGGCTAGAATATTTTCATGCAGTTAGAATATACGATTTTTTCTACTATGCTTCACTCAGATTCTTCGAATATCAATTTATGTTAAGATTTTTTTAGAGTATTTACTATCATTAGGGTGTACTTAAATTTTGGGTTTTTAATTTCAGATAAAATACCAGATTTTTTAAGTTTAGATCATAAAAAACGTCGCAGTAGTAACATTCGTTTTATCACGAGTTTTTAATAATAGTAAAAGCTTGGAGTAGGGATTTTATTTTGCTGTAAAATTTATGAAACGCAGCGCTGCAAAAACATTGGTTAAAATGGAAGAACCCTTTTGTAACTAAATGAACAGGTACCTGAAAAATACTTTCAAATTAAATAATTATTTATTGAAACTTGAAACAGAGTTTGTGTTAACATACATACAAGCGGTCTTATACAGGCATAAGTTTTAACTTAAAAAGTCTTCATTTTTCTTAATTATAGACGACAATTTTAGCAAAATTTTTAGATTTAGCTTAATAGCTACCTTTTAAAGTATATCTCTTCACATTTTAGACAAACATAGTAGACCCAGATTTGTACACTATTTTCAGTTCCAGCTTATTTACTATCTAATTTTTAATTTATCTTTTTTTAACTATTAAGGGAAAAATATTAAACAATAAAATGATATTGTTGAGAAACTACATATCCATTGAATAAATGCAAAGTTTAGTTTTAAGTAAAGTATTTAAGTAAAGTAAATAAAATATTAGCAGTTCTGCGCATATAAATATCACATTCCTTGTATTGATAATGTTTTATAGAGTAACAGAAAGAGGCAACAAGGTCAAACAACATGTTTATAATATTTTAGGGGAACTCGGAAAGAAAAAACAAAAAGAAAAACAAATATTTACCTACTAAAAGGCTGATGTAGCGAGGGTAGCCTTAAGCATCGATTGGAAATACATATCCACTTTTTTCCATCATCTAATTCTCATCGACCCAGTTCCAGATGTTTTTACTAAGCACTGCTGATGGCCATGGCATGTTGACGTGAATATATTTAGGTATATTATTTTGCAAATACCTCAAATTTTAAAATATCTCCTTATGTAATAATTAAGGGACGAATTATCATGAACATTTCAGGATGGGACTTACAATTAGTACAACACAGCATCTATGGGCTCAACAAGCAAGGTAGTGATTTTTTTTTAGTTACCCTTCGGGAAAGTTTAAATTTAAGGGGACGTTTCTATGTTTAATTTTATTAGAAACAATATCTCTTCACTGTATCAGTTATACAAGTTTTCAGGGTATAAGTTGTATATAAGGACTGACAATACATTCAGAATAAGAAAAAAAATATTTTACTTGTGTTCATCATTACGTTTTCTGAATTTTACTTGCCTGCTGAATGTACCTAGAGAAAATCGCGTGCGGTAATATAAATATAATCACACCCAGCAGAATGTTTTTAGGAAACTGTTAACACATGAATTAATCATAATTATTGGGTATTTTCACAAAATTCTCGACAAAGCAGGAAACGTACATGGCTACCCATGTTTTCCTTGATGTTTCACTGCGAAAAATTAATGGAATTCTTATATTTCAACATTTGTATAGTTAGATTTCCTTGTACTATCATTGTCTTACCAATATTGCGATTTTTGAGAATATCTAATAATGGAATTTGAATATAAAGCTGCTATATACAAATAAGTATTATACTGTGGTATGATATTTTGTATCTAAAGGTAGGTATA